CTTCTATCCAGGAGAGCAAAAAAGCTCTGAGATGTGAGAGAAGTGATGCTGGAAGGGTAAACGTTTTCCTCTGGAATAAAAGTGGAGATTCTGAACAGGATGCGTTGTAGTAAGCACTCCTATTCAGATGGTGGAGCAGGATACTGTACCACCACCAGAAAATAAACCCCCCTTTGACATTATCACACTGTTTCTTTCCCTAGAGCTGATTGCCCATCAGAAAGGACAGGTAGAAAAACAGCCACCTTATGAGATCTACTTCTGTTTTGGAGAAGAGTGGCCTGATGGAAAACCTAGGGAGAGAAAGCTGATCGTGGTTCAGGTAAGGGAGCTATAGCTCTGCAAAACAAGCATCTGTTAGAACAAGTGGATGAATCAAATACAGATTTTCTCCATATCCGCCCATGTGACAGTGTAGAACTTCTTCATGAGATAAGAAACCAGAACTGCAAGCTGGAGGATTTTTTTTGGCTTTTAAATTAAAGTAAAATGGAATCCACTTACAGTGAAGTGGAATGTTTCAGTATAAACTGCAGCTCAGGTGATAGTGAAACTGTTCTACGGATAAAGCGTCTACCACTACAGAAGTGTCTTGGCATACCTGAGTATTTTGGAACCTTACTATGCCACTTTTAGGTTATCATCCTCATTAGGCTAAAATAACTGTGCTTTCTTTTAAACAGGTAATTCCCGTGGTAGCTCGGATGATTTATGAAATGTTTTCTGGTGACTTCACACGTTCCTTTGACAGCGGCAGCGTGCGGCTTCAGATCTCCACACCTGACATTAAAGACAACATTGTTGCCCACCTGAAACAGCTGTACCGCCTCCTGCAGACTCACCAAGAAGGCTGGCCAATGCAAGCACCAACTATGCATGTTGCTCAGCCACTCTCAGCACAATGATGTATTTTCAGTCTCTGACTTAACTCTGCTCCAGTCTCTGGTTTCTTATATGTCCATAGAAAAGGATATTTTTAAATGGTGCCTTGCCCATGTATAAATAAAACCTGTGTAAATCCTATAGACAGATGGTCAAATTTCAACAGTATATGAAATTCATTTTATGCTCTTAAAAAAGTGAAAGGTTTTGAAGCAGTATCTTTAGTTACTCTACACTTTTGATCTCAGGCTACTTAGCTTAAGCAATCTATTGTGTATAGATCACAGGTTTTAACATCTTAAATATTTTTAAATAGCTAATGCTTGCAGCCTTGTGTATAAAATAGTTGATCAATGTAAAAAAAGTTTTAATTATCAACTGTCAATGTGCTTTTTATTCTCCATTAAAATTGCTTTGAAGAATAATGGACCAAGATTAAAATAGTTATTCTGAATTTTCTGTAGCAGCAAATGACTGTCTGGTGCTTCATCTACAGTCATGCTTTATATATTGATACATAATAATTTCATTGATATGTACAGATGATTCAAGATTAAGGTTTTAACTTTACAGCCTTCAGACCAAGGTTCTGCCTCAGTGCAGGGGGCTGGACTTGATGACTTCTCAAGGTCCCTTCTTAGCCCTACATTTCTGACTGTGATTTCATTGCAGAGAATGCTACCATGCAGGTCCTGGACTTCAATCTCTTATCTAACAGCCTAAATTTGGCCTCCACGACCTCTCTTCTACCTTTCCCCGTGTCATCACAAACCCAGCTACCTGTATTTCTGTATAAACTGCCTCATGCATAAATAGGAGAAAAGAGGCTAATAGGTGTAACTTTTTCATTATTCGGTTGCCTATTTCACTTCCTGACTGTAGTTGTGCTGCTCTCTTAAGTATTCCTGGATCTCCCTTTAGTGAAGTGTCTTAAGTGAATGTTCTGCATGCTTAAGCATTGCACTATGCATCTGATTCTCTGAGCAGCACTTAGAACCATATTCTTGAATGTTAGTAAAGTTGAATTTTAAAAGGAGAGAAAATAGGAAAGAAGAAATCATACCTTTTGTAAAGCTAAAAATTAACAATTTTCATATTGTACAATGTATGTTTTTGTATACATGCATCTCCCAGGAGGTAAATATGATGAGATTGTTATATTGCACTGTTTAACAAAGGACAGGTGCCATGCTTTCAATCCATCAGTGTATTTTATGTCTGCCCTTTAAACATGTTCAGTTCACCTTTTCCTCTTTAAAGCAGAGAATGATGGTAAGATGCTGCATGGGGGCACTGAAGAGAAGGGTGCTTTAGTGATTATGAAGTCCATGACATTTAACCACAACTGATGTTTCACAGAGATTGTGTTACCAAAAATCTAAGGCATTAAGTTACCTAATGAAAACTGATAATGGGATAAGAATGGAAAGATAACGCAAGTTTGTTTTGCTATTAGAAAATAGCTTTTGGGACAGGCGGTTCCCTACAATTTCATGCTATCTTGCTTATGCATGCATTTGTTGAGGTTTAAAAGTTAACTGATATATTGCATATTAAACTAACAGTCTTCCCTTGCTAGATGCACCTCTACCCCGATATAATGTGACCCAATATAACACAAATTCGGATATAACGTGGTAAAGCAGCGCTCCGGGGGGCAGGGCTGCACGCTCCAGCGGATCAAAGCAAGTTTGATATAACGCAGTTTCACCTATATCGTGGTAAGATTTTTTGGCTCTCGAGGACAGCGTTATATCGGGGTAGAGGTGTATGTGGAAAGAAACTGCTAAATCAAAAGGACCCACTTCTTAAACAGAACTTTGCCTTTTTCCTTATTTAGTTAACAGAGATAAACAGAACACTTATTTGGATTTATAAAGCAAGAGATGCGTTTGTCAGTTGACTTTAAAATTAGACTAATATCAGAAAGCAACCAGCAACCCTAGCTAATCATATAACCATGCTGCAAAAAAATAAGACCTTCTACTTTCCCTATAGCCAGCAAAAATAAGGTGCTATGCGCCCTATCAGGAAGCAAACAATGTTACAAATGATGATAAATTTATACAAACCTTTACTGAGATATTTATAACATCCCTGCTGTACTATACTCATGGGTGAATGAGCTCCTGTTTACTGCAGTGTCAACCTCTGAGTCTACTAAAACTTATTGCAGGAAGTACTTTCCTTCTGATTTACTGTAACCCAAGAAAGCTGACGTCGTTAAGCACCATAAAAACCGTGGGATGCTTCCAGAATACACAACACCTACAGGCAAAATGGCAGTATATCTATTAGTGTACAAACTGGCATTTCAAAGTACATTGAGCATGACTTCCCTAAATTAATTGTGCCATAAGTAACAGATGGGCAAACCTAGTCTGGGCAAAGCACGAACCAATCCCATGCTCGATCCAAATACTTTGAGGTTTGGAAATGCATTTAATTTTTCTTGTTGATTTTAGTTGCCTCTGTGCTTCTTGTTTCCAAAATAATACTGGGATGGGTACGTTTACAAGGGTTTAGCTTTTAGCTTACCTATTATATCTAAGCTCCCACCTTAAGCTGTTGACAGGTCTTCAGGATTTTTAGAACAGGAAGTCTGGATAAAAATCTGAATTGCTACCTGTTTTGAGGTTTACCTACCCTCACAACCATGTGCTATAGTAAATCTTCTGTTCTACATCCTGTTTTCAGGATAAGAAAGGGAACTCAGCTGCCTTTAGATCAGCTGGTGTGGAGGGATAGTTTGCCTTCCAGTTTACAGGATCTCAACCTACCAGAGGGGAAAGTGGGGTGATGTGATATGGATTATCCTTTTTTAAAGCCCGCTACAGTGGTATAGCTACAATAGTGCTAGTCACACCAGGTCCACAAGTTATGGGGGCCTATGCAGCAGAGGGTGCCTAGGGTGGTAGATTTCGGGACCTCCTGTGGTTGCCCCGAAGGATGGCAGTGGTAGATGAGGCTGGTGGGGCTGGCCAGGGTAGGCTGCTGCCCAGGGCTCTGAGGAAGTCCTCTCACCCCTATCTCCTGGGTAAGACTGTTGCTGTGGCTCAGGCTCTTAGCTGCCCAGGGCTTGTCTGGGTGGCACTGTCAGGGTTTCAGTCCCTGGGACAGCCCCTCCCCTGGACTCTCACTGCTGCCACCACAACAGCAAGGAGCTCATCTGGAAAGAGGCAGGAGGGGTGAGGGTTGCTGAGGGCCAGGTTGGGGGTGGGTCGGCTGAGATGGGCTGGGGCCGCAAACCTATTCTTGCACCAGGCTCACTGGGGCTGTTATACTCTGGCCCTGCTAGAGGGGAAGGTTGGGCAGCAACGTGCCCCCTCTTGCTAAAGGGGTGTATCAGGATGGACCTCTGAGCTGCTGAGTGGGTGAACCTCCCAAGAGCCTGCAAGCAGGTGCTGCCTGTATTTTATTTCTGTGGGACTTATCCCTGTAGTGGGGCGGGAGGCAGCAATTTAATGCTGAAAATGGGCTCCTCTGACCTACCGGGAAATACCCAGCAGGAGAGGGGACAAGCCCAGGCCCAGAGGTGAGGTTTGTGGAACCCTCCTGACTTGCCAAATAGGATAGTCCAGCCCTATGGCTGTGACACTCCAGTTGATGCTTCTACCTAGACAATCTTTCCACTGAAAAATTTCCCTACACGGAGTTTGGACACTAGCTTTACGTGGTGCTTCGGCCGCTGCTGGTTCAGTACTTGGCTTTATTCTCTGAAACGGGCACCGACTCTGATTCCGAGGCGATGCAACCCTTGTTATCGGAGCATCCAAAACAGGATTCTGGGCTGCAAATGCAACAGGGAAAGCTTTTGGGTTGTTGTTTTTTAAACTTGTGTTCTGAGTCTGGCGTTTCACTTGCATCTACACACAGGCCCCAGGAGCAAAGGTGCAGCTGTATCTGCAATATTTGGACACCTCCCTGCCACAGCTATGGTCCTGTAGCCTGCTCTGGGGCTAGCTTAGCTATAGCCAAGGGCTGCAGCTTGCAGGAGTGGCCGGGGAGCGCTTCCCTGTGCAGCCGCATGGCCCACAACACAGCCTGTCTCTTTAAGTGCCGGCAGCAGGCGGGACTCGCCCGGCCGCTGTTGTGTCAGGTGATGAGGGAGCAGCCAGCGAGGGGAAGCGGAAGCCTGAGCTCTTAGCCGGCGCCCATGTCCTGCCCCTCGCTTCCCGCAGCGGAGACAGCACCAGCCGGTCAGTGCACGAGGGAGTCCGGGCTCGGCTGGGGTCCTGCAGCAGGACTGCACGCGCCTCCTCTGCCCCCACGCGCAAGCTGATGCGCACACACACGGTGGGGCATGGACGGGCAGACTTGGGAAACTGATCAACACAATGTTCTCATCAGGCATCCCCCCCCCCCCCTTGTGCACAGTTCTGAGCTGATGGGCCCTCGGGGGGAGAGGGTTTGTGTGCAAACTGTTGCTAAGAAATACTCTGAAATACTGGTGCTAAATGCTCTGCAGGCTTTTTCAGAGCCTGGGTGGTGAATCCAGTGAAAAAAGTCTTTCATTTCATTTCTATAGTCTTTGTTTCAGTTGGGAACCAGGAGGCGCACCTGGCCAGCCGGCTTCCTGCCGCCACCAGCAAGGGATTTGCAGATCGTGGAACACAGTTTAGGGCTCTCCAGTTTTCGGGGCCTGTAGCTTATCTGTGCTGCTCTAAACTTTGTGCTATTATTCAATCTGTTCTCTTCAGTCTTAAAAACCCCGAATCCTGGAGTGGACGCTGTAAATTGCTTCTAGAGCTTGAAGGGATGGGATGGGATTAGAATCATAGATTATTAGGGTTGGAAGGGACCTCAGGAGATCATCTAGTCCACCCCCCTGCTCAAAGCAGGATCAATCCCCAACTAAATCCCCAAATGGCCCCCTCAAGGATTGAACTCACAACCCTGGGTTTAGCCGGCCAATGCTCAAACCACTGAGCTATCCTTACATTCCAGAGAATCTTTGTTATTATGTAGGTAGAAATAATTTATTTGGTCTCCGCCCTGTGCAGGATAGATGGGGATTTAATGGATGTTTATTAGTGCACACAAGGGTGAAAATGTGAGGATTTTGAGATATATTTGCTTTTGCAGGAATTAAAGCTGGGGGGGGGGGGGGGGGGGGGGAACTTTCAGAAGCTCACAAATACATTGGATCCCTTTTAAATGCTAATACTGTTTATTTCAGTATCTTTCAGGAAGTGACTTAGGGTAGCAGAAGAAAAGTGGAGGTATAGAGAACAGTGATTCAAGATTTCACTCTGGATCAGCCAGCTCCAGAATAATCCTGAAACTAGGGAGCAGATGGCAACACTATCCCCTCAGTTGCTAACTGCGGCAGCTCAGCAGAACCTTAGACCAGGGAGGAAGAAGGGTTTATCTCCAGCTGCCTCCTTGCACCTGGCTGGGGAGATCTTAGCTGTAGCTTCTGGATTGAAACCTGCTCTCCTGTATGATTACAATTCAGTTGGAGTACACAAAATCGAGAACTACCTTCAGCAGATCCAGGGCATCGGCCTGACGAGGCATCGGCTGCACCTTCTTAATATAGCAGACAATGTTCTGATACTCAACCTGGAGAAGACGGCACTGTGGCTGGAAATGCTGTTACTCACAAACAAAGTGCCCTTCATTGATGTTTCAGCTTCTAGGACATGTCCTGGCCATTGTGAGCCAGAATACGTAGAATCTATAAAAGGCCACATTGCTGAAATACTGTCTCATGTTAAAACACTGCCAAGTATCACATCCCAGCCGGTCACTACCAGTGAGATCTTCTCTGCCGATTGGAATCTGTGCACCATCTTTGGTGTTCTCCTGGGCTACCCAGCTTCCTATACTTTCACTAATGAGCAGGGGTTTGACAACTGTTTGTCTCTGACCCCACTGAGAGTTTTTACTGTCCAGGCCTCTTGCTGTAGGATAAGTAAAGATCTCCGAGTCCGAATTTATTCCTTTAGTGTCCCAGAGAACCTGTATCTTGCCATGAAGGAGGCCCTGGATGCATGGAGTGGAAATCTGAAGGACTTATTTAGTGCACAGAATGACTTTGCAAACCTCTGTATCTCAACGGAGGTGGTTTCTCTAGCCGCTGTTGCTTTGTAAATATAGTTTCTTCATTTCTTATCACAGGCTTGGGGGGTGCCAGGCATGAAATCTAGCAGGACACTTAACACTCCCCTGTGGACAAAGGTTCCCCCAGGAATAGCTTGAAACCACAGCTCTCCCCCACACCTGGAATTTAGGGCCCAAAGCACTGGATGTGAAGGGTGAGCATGTTAGCTGCTGAACCTGTATTTGCCGTGTCACTGGTACGTTGAACACTTGCCTTTCCTGGAAGTGCACTTTGTGGATTCAGGCACCCACAGCTGGGTTGCAGGCAGTTCATGCGGGATGGATCCCAATTGTAGGGTGTTCAACTCCTAGGGTTTGTCAGCACTTAGTGAAGACGCGACCTACGCCGATGGGAGAGCTGCTCCCTTTAGCCTAGGTACTCCACCTTCCTGAGAGGCTGTAGCTACGGCGACGGGAGAAGCCGTTCTGTCGACATAGCGCTGTTTACACCAGGAGTTCGGTCGGTATAATTGTGTTGCTCAGGGGTTGGGATTTTCCACTCCCCTGGGTGATGTAGTTATTCCAACATCAGTTCGTAGTGTGGACCAGGGCCTAGTAACCTCACTCACATGGCACAATTGAACTCCACCTCATTCTTCCTTCCAAATAGGACTGTGGTAATTCCATCCCCTGCCCTACCACATCAACAGCTGCTCCTAATGCCAGTTTGACTAGAAGAATGAGCACAGTGAGTCAAGAAGCCATGGGTTCTAATCTCATTTTTTCCTCTGGCTCCATTGGGGCAAGTGTTTTCTCCCCATATGTGCCTCAGTTTCCACATCTGTAAAATGGGGATATTTACCTCAAACATTGAGGATTAAAAAGGGGTCCATATTTGTACCGTGCTTTGAACATGTAAAGTTTGATAAATACTATTACTTATTGCCTATGTTATCTAGTGTAACCCATCTACTATAGACTATGCTTGTGCTCACAGCACAAATGTGTGTTTGTATTAAAGATATGTGCTGTTGTCAAAGCAACAGAACTCAGCTGTTAAAGGAATTTCAGTAAGTACCCAGCATTGACTTGGATTAACACGGTATTAACATTTCACAATTTTTCTCCCCACACTTAATTTAAAAAAATAAAAAAATCAGCAACCTCTAGTGCTTTGTATGGATTGGAGGGTGGCAGGGAGGGGAGAGGAAGAAGCTACAGTAATCAACTAGGAGGTGATGAGGATCTGGACAAGAGCGGAGACAGTCTAGACAGAAAGAAAAGGTGTGTGTGTGGGGCGGGGGGCGTCAGGGTTTTGTGTCTCCTACCGAGTTCTTTCCTCCAGCAGTGGGCGTTTTTAAGTGGCTGATACACCTCTACCCCAATATAACGCTGTCCTAGGGAGCCAAAAAATCTTACCGCGTTATAGGTGAAACCGCGTTATAGCGAACTTGCTTTGATCCGCTGGAGTGCGCAGCCCCGCCCCCCTGTTCTATCCGAATTCGTGTTATATCGGGTCGCGTTATATCGGGGTAGAGGTGTACTATGCAACAAAACATGGCTGCTGCAGCGCAGACCCTGAACCTTGTCTAATGTAACCTTCAATTAAAAATTAAACCAAGCAAGAGGAATGATCTCACGGCATTTATTGGACCAGTGTGAATTTGTTGAGGAGTGAGACCAGCTCAAAAATATCCCCCCAAAAACCCTACAAAATGTTTATACATTACAGTGAAAACAGTGGAGTCAGTTGCTGAGCTGAGGTAATTGAAACGGACGGATTCTCAGGGTACAAAATTGGCTAAGAAAGCCGCCATGGCTGCTGCTATCACCACCATTAGGAGGGGGATCCAGTGGCCACGTTGTCTCTGAAAGAGAGAATTAAATGTGTTTAGTGAATCAGTACACAAACAAAGGAAATTTTTAATTTAACGTCTGGTGTAAATACACAGGCGCTATCTTTCCTCCGTTGTCCAGATGACATCACCAACCTCACCACCTTCTGCTCCACGTGCAATGTGTTCCTTTGACTTTGCTTTCTCGAATATAAACACATAGCAATGTGTATTTAAAAGAAAGACAAATCCTACCAAAACAAGACACTCTTGTGGATCTGCTGCTCCTGGGGAGAGGAAGGAACCAACGTGACGGATGTGTAGTCATGTTGCTTAATGCACTACTGGAAGGGGCCCAGACAGTACAATGATGCGTGCAGCATAAGAAACTGAGTAGAACAGAACTGAAACAAATTTCCCCCCAAGCCCAGCCCCAGCGTGGAGCCTGCAAAGGTATCAAACTGCTCAGGATGTTTGCAGTAGGTAACTGGACACAGTAAAAGTGAACCCCTACTTTTGACTGTTTGCTCTGGAACTGATTGAGCTCGTCTCGGCACTGACGTAACTTGGTCATGCAGGAGCGGTACTCGTCGCTCAGGGCCTCCAGCTCAGAGCGGAGATCCACGCACTGGAAACAAAACAGAGCAATGTTAGGAATGGCCCACGTGGACCAAGAATTTGGCAGGTCTTGGTGAAGTTCCCAGGGCAACAGGGCCCATGTAGTGGAGAGTGATCTTCCCTCTCACCCCTAGTATTGTGACATCTAGGGCAGGACAGCAGTTTGTTAAGGCGAGCCCAGGGGAAGCACACTCTGCCTCTGCCTGTATATTACCTCTCCTGGGGTCTTTAGCCTGTAGTTCTAGTACGCTGGCACCTTTCAGCAGCACTCAAGTCATGTGGGAAGAAAAAGTAATATTTCCCCCACCAAAACATAACATAATCCCATCCCAGTGCCTATGGCAGCAGAAGAGAAAGCCCTCAGGTCTGCAACTGGCTCCATATAGGTAAATGGCTTGCCCCCGTGCAGAGTTTCACTAACTGGAAGGTAGGAGCAAAATCAGTAGGACTGAGTCAGGGGGAGGGAAGGGAAAGGCATCACACAGAAGCAGCCCTTCCCCCCAAAAAACATTTTCCTCTGTGACTGACTGGTCATTATTAGCTCTCCCCAGAACTCACCCCCCCCCCCTGCATGCCTTGTGGGAGTGACCCTTTAAATTGGGCAGAATCAAGCAGCTGTAGCCCTAACATGGCTGCTTTGGAATGGGCTGCTGCTGGCTGCATCTTGCTTTCTTCCAGCAGGTGAGTAGCTGTTAGATTTTCCCTTTTCATGCTGGGGAGGGGAAGTTGTGCTTTCAGCAGCTCCCCCCAAAGCACCAAGGTTCTGGCCATGGCTGGGGGGCACTGTTGATACCTATGAAGACCTCCTGGTGCTTGTGTGTATTCTGTGTTAGTTGCATTGATGTTTGTGGCAATGCATAGCAGGTCAGGTGTGCCTAGGGCTGCTCAGATTGTTTTGAGGCTGCATTGTATGAGGAGTCAGTGGTCTATGCGAGGTGCAACGCAAGTTGTCCTGATGGCGCACAGTACGGTATGTAATGTAGCCCTGGAAAAGCTGTTGGCAAAGCAAGAACTTTGTGTGTTCTAGCCAGTTCCTGCTCTCACCCGTTTCCTTTAGATTTAATGGTATTTTGCACTCTCCCTGCCCCCAGCTGATTTAGACCCAATTTGCAATGTCTGGTGCTTGTAGTCATTGAAGGAGACAGTGTGGGTTCAGTAAGACACTCTGAGCTCCATCTGCCACAGAGAAGGGTAAAAGCCTGTTTTATAAATTCCTGTGTATAAGTCCCTTGGTGCCTAGGTATTGTTCTAGGCACTATATTACAGTCAGTAAAGAAAGAAAAAGCCTCAGATCTCCCTCCCCACCCAAACAGCTCCTCTGAAGGGGGTGGGGCTGATGAGGACATAAAGAAGTAGGGGAAGAGAGATTAAAGCAGAGCAATTAAATTCCCCAGAGCCACAATTCCCCAGGCCTCACTTTAATTGTCTGATCCTTTACGTTCCAAGGACTGGAGCCACAGGCGTGTTTGGGATGAGCAGCGAGTAGCTGCCCCACTGGCAGCTGCCAGGGGCTTCTGAGTGCAGAGCACAGACTGGCAGAACATCTCTGTGGTTCTGGGGGAGCCTACTGAGATGATAACTACTGCATGCTGTGAGGGGCAGGTGTGTGCTCCCCATAACAGCAGCTCCCACAGCACTCCCCTAGGGGTATCTAGCATCAGTGGCACTGCTAACACATGCTTGTGCTTAGGAAACACTTACTCTAGGATTCTACCTGTCCCGCACCCGGGTGCATACAGGTCCCTTGTACCTTCTCTGCTCCCTGAACCCCAATCAGTCTGCCCCGGTGTCTGCTCCCTGTGGCACTGCCCTGTGTGTGTGCTGTCATTAGGGTGACCAGATGTCCCGATTTTATAGGGACAGTCCCGATTTTTGGGTCTTTTTCTTTTATAGGATCCTATTACCCCCCCCACCCCTGTCCTGATTTTTCACATTTGCTGTCTGGTCACCCTAGCTGTCATATTGTGAGTACTTTGCAGGAGGGACTTGTTATTGGCCAGCACTGCTCCTGTATCCCACAGCTCTGTGTGCATTTAATTTTAAAATGTGCCTTTGGGTATTTTCTCTTTGCTAATTCCCTTTGGTGGACATAAACTGTGTTTCTATCATTCACTTCTCTGCTCCAGGAGATAAGTCTCAAAGGAGCTGGCTTGGCGGGGCGGGGGGAGGGAAGTCAATTATCTGGGAAGATGGGTACCAATGTGCTGGTTTATTTTGATAGCCCTGAACTCTTCTATGTACAAGATCGACCTGCAGTATTTAACTCGCATGCCAACATACATTTCAGCTCGTGCATGTAAAGGTTTTATTCGGGGTATGAAAATATTTGTGACTTTAAGGCTATCTATGTAAAGGGCTTGCTTCGATGTCATTGCATGACTATTATTCTATCTGGAAATACTTAGAGGAAACCCAACAGGGGGTTTAGCTGAGGTCAGAATCAAAATGTAGTGACCGTGAGTCTCCAGTTACAGAATTACATCGTAATTCTGTTTGTATGGTTACTCCTAAAAATCATCACACATCAGTTTTATTTCTGCCTTGGAAGCCTTTAAAAATAGCAATTAATCTCCTAATGAGAACACTGAATCTCATTAACGGATTGTATCACCTCCTCACCTCCTTTTCCTTTGCAATGAGTTGGGCTGTCCTCTTCTGCACCTGGTCCTTCAGATTTTCCTCTCCCTCATCGTCTGGATGCTTTAACAAAGCATCTTGTTTTTCTCTGACTGGACTGGGGGGTTGGATCTGCATAGTTAAAACCTGATCTAAAAAAACAGCCAGACTTCCAGTGAGAAATGAGTCCAGGCTTTTGGTCAGCCTCTTCATTGTTCTACAAGTTGATTATTTTTAACTTAGTACACTTAAACATGTATTGAGGTGCTAAGCAACTGGAAATGAATTGTGGGGAGTGATAGCTCAGTGGTTTGAGCATTGGCCTGCTAAACCTAGGGTTATGAGTTCAATCCTTGAGGGGTCCACTTAGGGATCTGGGGCAAAAATCAATACTTGGTCCTGCTACTGAAGGCAGGGGGCTGGACTCTATGACCTTTCAGGGTCCCTTTCAGTTCTATGAGATAGGTATATCTCCATATATTAATTAATGCAGGACATGGCTTAGTTGTCTTAGTGCTCGGTTGTGCATGTGAATTAGAAATATTTATTTTTAAAACAATTATTGTTTGACAGTAGTCTGGCAAAGTAAGCTACCTTTGGTGAGAAGGGGGTCAAAACTCCCCAATCTTTGATGATGATTTTCTTGGTGTGCAGGGGTAGCTGAAATTGGAGATGGAGCATATCAAGTAAACAATGACTGGCATGGCCTCTGAAGAAGGAGTGTTGAAATCAAATCAATTTATTGTTTAAGGCATTTGCCATCACAGATACATGTATTCGTATATAGTGAGGCTAAATTCTGTATCAATTAGGAATACATAGCAACCTGTTATGAACAGTACAATTCCTTTATGCTAAACAGATAAATAGTTTTCACTCGAAGTTACTGTTTAACCTTTTCATGTGAGATTAGAAGCATAATGGTTGTCTAGAGTCTGAGTTACAAAGTTTGCTGACCTTTTCTTACTACCACCTCTTCCTGAGCCTTCTGCTCCTTGGACTGGTTCTGTAACTGGTCTGCAAATAGAATAAGCCACTATTATCACCCAAACTATGTACACAAATCAGTTTCATTCTGGGCATTTCCTCTTTCTCTTCTAATCTGCCCCTTCTCCTATCTCAGCCCTCCTTGTTTGTTTTAATTCACTGTAAACTGGTTCTACTGTGTGGGTGGTTTGACTCGCTTCATTCATACAATTTCTTGGAAAATTCTGCCACCGGTTATACCCAGGCTGCTAAAAGCCCAGGTGTTGTATGGCTATCCCCTAAGGCAGAATAATTAGGTCTTCTGTTGCCAATATTGCTGTTATAAAAAAAATACCCAAACAGATGTTGTGAAGTCTGGACAGATTTACTCTGAAAGGCAAAATCTTATTTGCTTATGATTATTTAATATAGACTCCAGCATGCCTTCCTTCTCAATGTACAGAGAAGTGCAACAGTACCTGTAAGCAACTTCACTGGCTTCCCCCATTCAGTTCAGGATCCAGTACAAAATGATTCTCCATGTCCAAGATTTTTAAATGACGTGATTTGGGGCAACCAAGCTGAAAGTTCTTAAAGGGAGCAGATTTTCAGGAGGCATGTGCCAAGCACTGTCTGAAAATCAAACCCCTTTAAGGCATCTCAAGTTATGCACTCAAAAAGTCAGGTTGTCAGAGTCACTAGTCACTTTTGAAAATCCAGGTCCTTGTATGTTAAACCCTCCATGGTCTTGCTCCAGCTACAGAACTTGGCTATCTGTGTCTGTCATGCCTCATCCTTCTCCCCTTCTCTCTAGTCCCAGTGTCCTGTTAACAGTAGCTAGATTGTGTTAAAGTGAGAGCCATCGCCTCTGACTCTCTTGTTGTCTGAAACAGCTTCCCTTTTGCCCTCCACTGTAACTCCATCTCTTTTCAGTGTCAGGTGAAAACAGTCTCCCTCTGCCCTCTCCTCTTGTACTTTTTCTCCCTCTGCTAATATTTAACTCTTAAGACAATCTGGGATAAAGTCTGTGTCAAAGACACTGTAAAATGAGGTTTCGTCCTGCTAATGATCAATGCCAAGCGCTGGTGATGTGCCTGGTGGAGATGAGCAGGCTAAGGAGGGGTGGGGGCTATTTCACGCCCGCCCTCCCTCCAGATCCCTGCATTTTCTGTTTGCAGAATCAATCCGCTGAGACCTTCTGATAACCTGGTCACCTTTAGAGCCAATCACAGTCGCTCTGGGTGATGGGTAAACCTGCTCTTATATAACGAATAGGAAAGACAATCCAATCAGTCTCTGTGCAGGGGAGTTTCTCCATGAATGGAGAAGAACAGATGTAACTGGAGACGGCTCTTGCATTTCCCTGTAGTGCGCATTTCACAGAGCAGTGGGCCTGACTCTCATCTTATCCGTGTAAGCCAGGGTTCCTGAGCTCACTGGAGTTATGCTGCAACGGCAGCATCAGACCTAATGCAAGCCTGCGCCCTGCAGTGCTACTTACTGTGCAAACGAGTGATTGTCGCCTCCAGCGCCAGCTTTTGCTTTTGTTCATTTTGCAATTTACCTGAAATGAACAAATTCATTTTTAGTAGTCAGGGATGACAAAAAAATCTCTGAGGAAATCTGTGTAAATGCTGTGTAAATTTCCTTCTCCCCAAACCTGTACAACTTCTGTACAGTGGAATGAAAGGTGTCGAGAGCCTTAATGAGCTAATATTTGTCCTTAAGACTCCAGCGATTTCCTGTTAATCACACATGCCCAAATAAATGCTGTCTAACCAGTGATGGCCGCTTTACTGGTGCTCTTTACACACTATTAATAATGCTGTATGTTTTGGTTTTAGTTTAAATGATGTTCGGCAAGACTTTAATCCATTAGCTAGATGGGGCTGCCTTTAGTTTATCAGTCATTAATTTTATTTGCTATACTTAAAATAGCCACATTAGTAGTAACTGAAGTTCAGGGCCCCTGTCTGAACTGCCACTTGCCAATATGATTAGCATTTATTTATGGCCTCATAATGCCCATCACTGTTCCCATGCAGCTCAAATGTTAAAGGATTTGTCAACAACCATGTGAAGTGGGTTAGTAATATCATAGAATATCAGGGTTGGAAGGGACCTCAGGGAGGTTATCTAGTCCCACCCCCTGCTCAAAGCAGGACCAATCCCCAGACAGACTTTTGCCCCAGCTCCCGAAATGGCCTCCTCAAGGATTGAACTCATAACCCTGGGTTTAGCAGGCCAATGCTCAAACCACTGAGCTATCCCACTCCCCCAGGTAGGGAAATTGAGGTACAAAGATGCAGTGACTTGCCCTAGAGTAGAGCACACAGACAGCCTGTGACAGAGTTGGAGATTCAACCCACATCTCTTGGCTCCCAGACCACCCATTCTTTTGGGAAAGTCACTTGACCTCCTTATAACTCAGTCAAGCTAGGTGGAGAAAATTGGATAAAACTTAATCTAGGCTCCCTGTTGGAAACCAGAGTCTGCTTCCAAGCTGAGATGTTCAAAATGCTTAAAGGAAGGTATTTTTTTATGTTGGGCTTTAGCAACTGGGATGCTTAAAAAAGTATTTCCTGATGGTAACCTGTCAGGGAGAAACCCCTGCCATTACTGATCCTGCTCTTCCCTTTGTAAAGTCGGTACCTTCCATTGCACGGACGTGCTCCATTCTGAGCTGGCCGTCTACTTGTAGAGCCTCCATTCTCGAATAGAGATCTTCACGCTCACTCTCCAAGTTACACAGGGCCTGGCGGAGCTGATCATTCCGGGTGTCTGCCCACTACATTCAAGAAAGAACCTCAGCATCAGGGCATTGGTTGGTAAAGAAGTTATACTTAACAATTCAAAGAAAACACAATGTGGGCCTGGCTGTCAGAAGTCAAAGTGAGCTGAGTGCTCAACACCTCTGAAAATCTGGTCCTGTCTGACTTGTAAATAATAACACAGTATTGTTTAACCAAGAAATTAAAGGCCTTGTTTTCAAATTGGCCTGAATCTCTGGCCTGCATAGGTGTATGCCCAAGTTTTTGCACACCTAGAAACATGTATTTCACTGTGTAATTGATTCCATTGCTACAGGAACCACTTGGCCTATAATTGCAATGCAGCCTCTTCTGAAGTGGAATATGGTGGCTATTTAACAGTAAATAGAAATGCCACACAAAAGAATACTCTGTGCAACTCAATCTCAAGGGGAATTCAGTTACCTGAACTAGATGGCCGGGACATCAGGGTTAAAGTCATATGGAGCACATGACATTACATAGAGATTTAATGAGGTTATAGACTTTTTAAACAAAGTTCCAGCCTGCGGAAAATCTTATAATCGCCTAAATACACCTCTACCCCGGTATAACACTGTCCTCGGGAGCCAAAAAATCTTACCGCGTTATAGGTGAAACCGCGTTATATCGAACTTGCTTTGATCCGCCGGAGTGCACAGCCCCCCCCCCTCCCCGGAGCACTGCTTTACCGCGTTATAGCCGAATTCGTGTTATATCGGGGTAGAGGTGTACTGTGATTTAGAAAAGGATACAGATAAAACCTTTGCCAGGGTGGAGTTGTGTTTGAATTTAACCCATTCGTGGTTAGACATCCGTGGTCTCTGACAGCCTGACCAGAGCGGCAGAGGCAACAAGACAACTGTACGGTAGAGAATGAACTTACTTGCAGTTGGTTCTGCAAAACATAGAGCTTGTTCTCCAGTTCAGTATGCTTAGTGGCTGTCTCATTCCACTCTGTTTTTAATGTGTCATAGTGTTCTTTCCAGAGAGCACAGTCGTCTTCTGTGACTGCCAGGGTCCTCTGAAGAACAAAACAACACCCAGGACGCAACGTTGTTAGCTTAGGACTGATCTACACACAACGTTGCTGCACTGTGTGATTTTATACAGGTTTAGTTAAACTGGTGCAGCTCTTATATCTGTTTAATGCCGGCTTTTATCTTGCACCTATAAATTTACAAGCACAAGCTCAACTGATAGAACCAGCGATGAACTCAACCTGGTGCCCCTCCTTTAAAGATTCCCCATTCCCCTCATTGAAATGAATACAGCGCAGCAAAATCCAAGCACACACACACACATGAATGTGTGGAGTTTTCTCTTTCAAGGTTGTATGCTGACAGCACTGTCTCTAACACCTCAGGGAAATGCAGGGGGAAAGTAGGTTCTGTGCATTTGTAATGTAACATGATTGCATTGCCCTGTTTCTGTGTAGTGAAGTAGCATAGAGGCATGTTAGAATACGGTGCCGCCTGATGGAGGTGGGGGTGGGGGAGAGAGAAACGAGCAGGAGCTTTTCATTCTGGAAGTTAAAGGTACATATGACTGTATGTACAAGAGGAGTGTTTAGTATAACTACCATGAGTTTGACATAGGGGATTACCTGAACTCTTGTGAGTTTCTGTAGATTTAAAACAGATTATTTCTGTGCTGCTTTGTCACAGTGTTTTGTTTTCCGGTGTTGAAAATGTTACTTTGTTCCCTGGCCCAGTGGACAAATGTGGCACGGCAGGACTCTCCTGGTGACATTATTTGTTAGGATTTTGGTCTAAAAAAAGCCACACCAAAGGGCACCCATCCAGAGCTCTGGATGTACGTTTAAAAAACACAGTAACATTGAGCTTACAAACCATGAAGCTGCCCAAAGCAGCAGCATTTCTCCTTCCCACCACGTTATTTAATCACCCATCATTTGGCTCAGACAACTGAAATACATGCCACTCCCTGCCCCCCAACACACACACGCACCCAAACGTATTATGAGGCATTGTACTGTTAAGTATGGGGCTGGAGGGTAGGGGGCAGAGGGGAAGGACAACCACTTTCGCCTTTGTTCAGTAGTTAAAGTATATTTTGCACAGTTGTTGAAGATGGTAAAAGGTACAATCCTCTTCTCACTAAAGCCAAGGGGTTTTCCAGTGATTTCACTGGGAGCAGGATTGGGCCCAACGTGATTGACCTGGCGGTGTGATTATATTTTTCAGCAGCCTGAAAATGGGCCCATCCCTCTAGGTAGGACATCTGTTGTGGGATTCATGTTCCTCACCTGAGTATTCTGTAGCTGCTGTTCTGCTTGGAGTTTCTCCTCCAGCAGCTTCTGCAGAGCTTCTCTTGCTTTCTGCTCATAGGTCTGCTTTTGGTCCTCCATCTCCATCAGGATCCTCTTCACACTGTCCTTTGAGTAATTCTTTAAAGGGACAATTGAACTCACAGTTGATTCAGTATTACCAATGGACTCTTAACCCACTGGTGAGAGACAAGCCTAGAAATTCAAAAAGATCCACCAGGATTGCTCTCTCTCTAATACATTCTCCACGACTTTGTCCTGATTCAGTTTTAAATGTCTCAAACACCACTACCTTTGATGGGCTACTTCCCAGTCTCAGAGATCTCACTGGATCTGAGTATTAGCACGTACATGGATAAATGCAACAAGCTGCAGCAAACAATCTAACAATTTTTTGACCCTATTTAATAAAAGCCTTCTGGAAAGTAAGACCTGATCTAATTACATTGTTCTGTGTTTATACTTGCATGCAAAGTTTTTCTTTCTATCTGTTCTCATTGCTTTTTTAAAAAAGTCTCATACGTTACCTGGGCACAGGTGTGAAGCTGATTTTCAAGGGCCCTCAGTTTACCCTTTAGTTTGTCTTCATTCAGCTGACCCTGGAAGAAACAATTGAGGCAAGGTCTGGAATACTGAATTACAGAACAACCTCTCCAGATTTCTAAGTGAATCCATCATACTTTGGCTCACTCATGTTTCTGATTTTTCTTCTGCTCCTAGTGTCGTACCCAGGGCTGGCCAAATTATTTTCAAAGTGAAAGTTTAGATTCCCTTTCAAAATTTCAAAAATAAGTGGGAAAAATTTAGAATTTCAAAGTTTTGAAAAAATGAAAAAAAAATGAAACATTTGCAGTTCCTCCTCCGTCCCCCATTTTTTCCTAGCCAGCTCTATCAATTATAGGAATGCAGGAGCTCTCAGAAAAGTTAAAGGCGCAAAGGAGTCATGTAGTTACTCTGGATGAATCTGTACTGAGAACAGAACTGCCCCCAAGGCCCCACACACAGCCTTGTTTTCTGCTTCACGATTCTCTCTTGCAACAACATTTTGGCTTACGGCTCCAGCTGGTGGCAGCATCTTGTCTCAGCAGCTTCCATAGAAAACAGATTGGGTTTGCACTACAATGAGCTTTGTTGAGGGTGGAGAGAGGAATGGGGAAACTGAGTCATCATATTTTTTTTCCCAACGTTGGTCAGGTTTTGCAGTTGGGTTTGTAAAATGCAGGCTGTATGCAAATCCAGGCAAGGCTTCTAGCAAAGTGCTTGCCTGGACTCTCATCTTCCACCTCTGATCTGAAGGATGTCAGCACCACTGCCACTCACTGTCGTGTGAAGCCACGCTTAACATCCATTGGGTTATTATTTAATATTCATATCATGGTAGCATCCAGAGGCCCCAAGCAAAATCTGAGTCCTGGCATGCTGGATACTCTGTCAACACAGAGATGTTTGCACATCCCAGCCCAAAAAGTGTAAAGTCCAATAAATCCAGGCGTCAGTTCTCATAACAAACTAGAGGCCAATTGTTTTTTAAAAAAAAAGGCAATTCTGAGAGATATTTTTAGATGCAAGATACCGGAAGAGACTTCATGCCACTTTCTACGGGCAGTCTTTTTAAGCCTGTGGAAAGTGGATGTGAAGCACTGTGAAGTCAGAGTGGTAGCATTTCTCACCCACTCTATACGCCTGTAAATGAGCACAGAGGGCCAGATGGGAGAATCAGACTTTGTCTATACTTGACAGGCTTTGCTGGTACTAGTAGATTTATACCAGCAAACTCCCTCCTCCCCCCAAATGGAGATGCAGCTTTCACCCGCAGGAGCTCTTTGGTCCCTGTAACTTAGACCATTTCCCTGAATGGAGTAAGCTCTACTCTACAAAAGGACTCTTTCGCCAGAATAACTGTGTCTACACTAAAAAGCGACAAAGAGTCCTGTGGCACCTTATAGACTAACATACGTATTGGAGCATAAGCATTCGTGGGTGAATACTCACTTTGTCAGATGCATGGGCATGCACAGGGCCGGCTCTAGGATTTTTGCCGCCCAAAGCAAAAACAATTTTGGCCGCCCCCCACCCCCACCCCCGTTTTTTAATTACCCCACCCCCGTCCCCGCCTCAACTCCGCCCCTTCCCCAAATCCCCAGCCCTGCCTCCTCCCCCCAGGCTCTCAAGCCTAGGAGGGAGGGAGGGGGAGTAGCGGCGCCCACGCCGCGGCCACTCGGAGTCTCCCCCTCCCTCCCAAGTTTGAGAGCCTGGGAGGGAGGGTGAGTAGCGGTGCGCGAGCGGCAGCAGCAGCGGAGGTGAGCTAGGGCGGCCGGGGCACATTTTTAGGGGCGGCAGGGGCGGCATTCTGGCGCCGGCCATGCCGCCCCTAAAAATGTGCCGCCCCAAGCACCAGCTTGTTTTGCTGGTGCCTAGAGCCGGCCCTGGGCATGCATCTGATGAAGTGGGTATTCACCCACGAAAGCTTATGCTCCAATACGTCTGTTAGTCTATAAGGTGCCACAAGACTCTTGTCTGGATCTGTAAGAAGCGACAAACACGTCTACCCCTCTGATACTGTGTCTACACTGGGCTTTTGCCAGCACAGCTATGATGGTTACACGTGGGGAAAAAAATCCCACTCCTGACCAACATAGCTATGGTGGCGAAACTTAAAACTGTTGACAAGGCTCAGGTTGTATGGGATTGCTAAGAAGACACCCCAATGCCCCTCTTAGCTGTTCATTCTCACAGTTACATTAGGGTTGTTCCTCACGTCTGAGTTCTCTTAAGATGGCAGCTCACACTTCTCGCAGATCCCTGCCTCAACAGTCTGAAGGCAGCACAGAAGGGAGCTCAAAGTTAGTCGGAGGCCCAGTGTTTGCAAAAGTGGCCGCTGACTTTGGATGCCTCAATCCTTGGGTACCTCTCGGGCCTGATTTTCAGAGACTGGATGACCTCAATTCTATGTGGAGTCAATAGAAGCTACAGATGCTTGGTACTCTGGATCTCAGGTTGGGCTCCCAAAAATTGGGACATCTATGGTCAGTCGCCACTCCAAAATACCTGGCTGCAAAATCCTCCCTCTGCTGCATCCCTGTTCAGCTGTCAGCGAATCACAGGGTGTTTTCTGCGGTGTCCTGGCTAGCCCATGATTGGTAGACTGTATCTGATGTTCCCTCCCTCTTTGCTTTTTTTAAACCTGTCATTTTAAATTCCTGGTTTAAAGAAGCAATTTTAAGCGTTGTTTTTGGACTGCATTCCCTTTGCTCAAACACCATGCCCATGCCAAATAAAATGGAAAAGAGTGAACCCTGAAAGTGGCAGCGAGTGGGTGGAAACAGTCTTTAAAACTATGCAGAAAATGTCCCAAATTTCCCAAGGTCAGACAGCATTTTGGGGGATGGGAAAAAATATATTCCGGTGGTGTTTTTACACTTTAAAAGACAGGTCTAAAAAGTCATCACTGGTTACCATAACAACATGAAACTTAGTTAACTCCTTTTGTCTGAAGGTCTCAAAGTATTTTACAAACAGTAACTAAGCTTTACAACAGCCCTGTTGTTATCCTGCTGCTTGCACACGAGGAAATGGAGGCACAGATCGGTTATGCGGGTTGCTGAAGGTTGGTGGCAGAGCTAGGAATAAAACCCAGAGGAAATGGAACCCTACAGTCCTGAATGGAGCCCCTCGGCCCAACTGCTAGATATATTCCTGTTGTACTGATGAACACATTCATTATATTGGTCTAGATGCACCCACAAATATTCAGTAGGATCCGACAGGGATTCTCGGTGTAATTATGACCAGACTATTGTTGTATAGCATTTTTCTTTTCCCTTCAGACTTTCTATTATAGGAGCTTGGTTCTAAAATGCTGCCTCAAGGTTTGGTGCCTCAGCTGGTTATGGAAACATGGCAACCGTCACCTAATTTGCTTTAGAGAGGCTTCCAGCTGGGACCCCTAAGAGTCTGGCAACTTCATTTGCCAGCCTTGGTCTTGCAGAGGCCCCTCTGAGCATTTCCCCCCTGGCCTGTTCTTTTCGTCATATGTGCTAAACTATTCCCAGAGGACCAATTTCTAAATATCATTTACTTTGTTTGCTCTGTTGGCTACAACACCAGCAGCAAATAAATGTTGATTGTCTCATGAAAGGCTAAAAGCAGAGGGAGCAGAGAAATCTATTTTCTATAGCAAAGACATTAAGAAGCAAAGTGCACCCACCTGTTTCTAATCTGAGGTTTCATGGCTACTTCCTGCCAGTGTGTGTGTCAGCGTGTTTTTTCCTGCTCATATTATATTTGTCAGAAGCATTTTACGGAGGAAGTCTCAAACCGCAGAACATCTTAACACATTTTTTGCTCCATCTCACCCAATCGCTTGGCTCCTCTGCTCTGACAGAACTCTTTCAGAGCTTTTTCTTTTTTTTTTTAAGTCTAGTTCCAAATTAACGTTTTTTAACAGCAAATATTTTGCAGTGCGACTTGATTTTAAATTTCTATTTTAAAATTTGCTTTATGAGCTAGTCCATAAGGCCGTGTACTTTTCAGAAGTAGTTGCTTAATGTCACCTCCAGGCTGCTGGTTAAAAATCGACTCTGGGTCAGCTGTAATCAGAAATTGTTACCATCCAATGCCTGTTGGTGAGCCATGGGAACTAGATTTGGCGGGGTGGAGGCCCTAATTCAGCAGAACACTTAAGGGTGTGTTTGTTTAAGTGTTTTGCTGATTCAGGGCCCTGGGACCGTGCTTTGTGAAGTGTCCATATAACACAAACTGCCGCCACAGCTGGCTCTAGGTCCTCTCCTGATCGCTTGTCTCAACGGAGCGGCAAAGAAGTGAACAGACTTTAACTTCGAGGTGCTCCCTCCAACATGTATCAAGAATGGATTGAGATACAGTGCGTGGGAGAAGCTTGCGCTGCTGCTGTCTGTGTTGTATCTGTTCTGGCGGATAAATAGATATATTCTGCCTCCAGGACTGAGAGTCTAGCACCTTCACCAGAATGAAATTCTTTCCCACACACCGGTGGTTTAAACTGAGATGCCTGCTCCGTCTGGTTCTGGATTCATTCTTGGCACTGTTATTTAGTACCTCGTCTTGGCAGCTTTTGGCAGGAGAACACACTGAAACAAGCTGTTGCTGAGCTTACGGAGGCTATCCCTCTTGTTAAAATCCCTCTTTTTCCCCTTTGTTTCTATGCATGAAATGGGGTGGTGGTTGTTGTTGTTTTTAAAATCAGTGTTTTCTCAATTGAAAAATGGCGCTTCAATCTAAATGAAAAATTGTGTGAAAAAATTCATTTTGGCTCAAATCTTTTTTGGTCTCCCCTTGCCCCTCAAAAAAATTGAAACAAAAGTTTGTTTCAAAATGAAAACTTTTTTTCAGGGGGGCAATTCAGATTTTTTTATGGTCTTCCCCCCCCCCCCCCCCCGATCTTAGACTTTTTCCTTATTGGAAAAGGGGGAGAAACATGAGTGACAGAAAATGGGGAAAAATCCTCAAACCTTTTTAAAAAAGAAACACGACGAGAAACATTTTTAGTTCAACACTTAATGAAAACTTATGTTGCATCCCAACATTTTTTGTCCAAAAAAAGAATAAAAAAAAAAGAATGAAAATTTCAAACAAAAAGAAAGTTTTCATAACAATGGAGAGTTGTTTTTCAGCTGGCTCTAAAATGAAACAATATTGGAGAGGAAGGCGGGCAATGATATTCACATGCTAAATAATTCTGAGCACAGTCATGTCCCTTTGCAGACACAGCTCAGCTTCAGAGCTAAACCATCTTCTCCATTAGGAGAGAAGGATAATCCCAAAATTAGAAGACCAGAAGCAGAGCTGGAATTCAGCTGGCAGAAATAAGCAAGACCTGATGGGGTTTTCCCCCTTGCACACATGGATGAGACTCTGCCCTGGCAGATCCTGGCCTAATCCTAAAGCCGAATAGAAGTACGCAGCATAGTCATTTGGTACCTTCCAAGATTTTTCTGATGCTTGCAGCAATGTGGATAAAAGCTCCTGTAAAATCACCATCTTCTGCTTCAGCAGCAGCTCTCGATGTAACGCCTCCTGTAGGCAAAATGAGAAAGCCAGGCTAATATAGGTGCTCTGAATGCGTCTCAGTGACCCTAGTTCATCTGGACATCCAGGGGTGACCTGTTTCCCCTCTAGGACTCATTATAGCTATTTTCACTCCTCACTGTGTTTTGGGAACCTATTCCCTGGGCTTCAGTAGCTGCTCCTTTTGCTTTCCTGGCCACCTTAAAACTAGGTGCATGATACCAGTTTAGTAAAAGCTACCTCCTCACACGCACCCTCCACCCATTTCTAGAACTGTATTTATCATTTTTGTGCTTACCTTGAGGTAGTTGGAAAGTTGAATTATTTCCTAAAAGTGAAAGAAAAGTGCAGTAAAATCCAGATTCAGTTCGTGCAAACCTTCTATTTGATTATATTTTTAAATCAATCACTTAGTCCATAAAGGAAAAGATTTCGCAAGAAACTGCAATCAGTGGTATGAGTTCTAACAAGAATTAAACGGGGACCCTAAGTTATCACATTCTCTGGGCAATGACAATAAGCTGTATAGACCTTTACTGTGCTTAGGCTTGTGCAATAATACAACTGTTCTGTCATTCATTGGCTAAACCCAAAGTAGGTATTTTACCGCAATCAGTGCTTTCCCTGGAACAAGACTGTCTCTGTCTAATGCATTAGATGTACTGTCCTAGAGCTTCCTGTCAGTAAATTAGTTTGCAGCAATCTCTGTCATCTACATTCCAATAAGAAATAATCAGGAACAAATCCTGCTTTCATTGACACTGTTCAAACCCTGGAAGTGCAGAATTTGGCCCTTTAACGTTAATGTTTCTTAGGACAACAGGATTCTTATAGGCATTTCCGTACAGGTTATTCATATATTTTGCTTACCTTATCTAATACTGCTATCCCACAGCTAAAATAAAAAAAAGACAAGGATTTTCTTAGGATGGACATGATACAGATTTATGAAAAAGATCACAAGAATGGGTGCACTGAAAATACTTGCTAGGTAGAGGAGCAATCATATGACGATTCATAGAACAATAAATAATGCCTATAAGAATAATTCTTTTCACTTGTATAGCACCTTGCATCTAAGTACGTCAAAGTGCCTTTACAGATATCAGTGATTCCCCAGCCATGCAGAAGCAGGAAGAATATGCTCCTAATAGGATAGATGACAAAATACTTACTCTGTTTGTTGGCTTGAATTTTTCTTTATTGCACTAGAATCTGTTAATGTTTGAGTGCCTGTTAAGATAAAATTGAGAGGGTGGGCTACTGGTTCCTAAATTGTCAGCAGATAGTTAGTATAAAACCCTTCATTCACAGCTGCACCTTTCATTCTGAAGGCTCATAAAGTACTTTACCAACTATATATAGGGATTATTCCAACCATCACAGAAATGCAGCCATTGCTGGGATGACGCATGGCAGTTTAAACTGCACACAGCAGTCTAACACAACAATTTAGGGTGGGAGTATGCAGCTGAAAATGCAAGTGGAATTTAAGTAATTTACCTAAGCTAAAATTTGGCCAAGTTACTGGCAAACACGCCTATTTCTGAGAAAAGCGCCATGGAGATTTTAATGATCACAAGTGTTCAGAGGCTCCATTTTACGTTTGTATGGAATGATGGCTCCCTCTGCAGCATGGTGCCATTTTGCAGCAGGCTGGGTCACCGAGGTCATTATTGACTCAGCACAAAGAATAGCACCTGGTGAATCAACGTATTCTTATCATGCCTGGTTTGGAAAGGGAAAAATGTCAGATTTGGCTGATACAGAACATCCTCCTTAAACACTGGAACAGGGCTTCTAGGAACAGGAACTCTTTTGGCATGTGTTAGTATTGTGTCTGATCCTGCTCCCATGCAATTCAAAGGCAAAACACCCATTGATTTTCAGAGCTGCAGGTTCCAGCACATTGTGATTTGGCACCTGAGGGGATTCTTTATCAATACAGACCCTCTTTCTCGGCTTGCTTTGGGAGTCCAAACCAAAATAATCCATGTGATTCCCTTGAACCTCGGAGGTTTCAATAAAATGCAGCCCCCAGATCCCAGTAAGCCTGAGTTCCCTTTTGCAAAACCTAAGCCTCATTTAGCCAGTCTTCTTGTACCTCGGCTAAGCTTGGAGATGTCTTTGGGGAGGATGTTTTGTGATGAAAAGCCACAGGAGTGCCAGTTGTTCTGCGTGCGAGGATCGTTGAGACTGTGCTGGGGATGCTTGTGATGGACCATGGAGGTGCTGTTATTCTGAAATGAAATGAGAGTTTAATTTTTATAATGGCCTATTAAAAATCAGGAGAGAAAAGGGGAAGCAACTAACCAAGTGGCATGGTGTCACTTTGAATTGTATAGATCAGGGGTAGGCAACCTATGGCACGTGTGCCAAAGGCGGCACGCGAGCTGATTTTCAGTGGCACTCACACTGCCCAGGTCCTGGCCACCGGTCCGGGGGGCTCTGCATTTTAATTTAATTTTAAATGAAGCTTCTTAAACATTTTTAAAACCTTATTTACTTTACATACCACGGTAGTTTAGTTATATATTATAGACTTATAGAAAGAGACCTTCTAAAAACGTTAAAATGTATTACTGGCACGCGAAACCTTAAATCAGAGTGAATAAATGAAGGCTCGGCACACCGCTTCTGAAAGGTTGCCGACCCCTGGTATAGACTGTGTGACTGACCTGGGGAATAACATGGGTGGAGACTGAGGGTTACAGTGATTTTTGGGTTCAAGGCCTAATTTTTCAGAAGGTGCTGAGCACCCGCAACTCCCACTGGAGTCAGTGCAAGGTGTAGCCGCTCAGCAACACTGACAGGGGCAGTGGGGGAACCTGCTAACTGCAGGTAGACTGTGAAGCTGCAGGGAAAGAAGTGCCTCTGAGACTCTGAGAGGCAAGGAGGCCAGTTGCTTCACTAACCGCACGGAGAGTAAGAAAAGAGCTTTTGATGCCCTGAGTTAGTTCCTGGCTAGCATTGCTGCTAACAGCTGGCTAGCTTTAGGCTTAGATATTTCGTAGGGTGACCAGATGTCCCGATTTTATAGGAACAGGCCCGATTTTGGAGGCTTTTTCTTATATAGGCACCTATTACCCCCCACCCCCATCCCGATTTTTCACACTTGCTATCTGGTCACTCTAGATATTTGTTCTGCACTCATCAGAGTTATATCCGAGTTCCTCTCCAGGATCTCTGGTAGTAAGAGCATGAACTCTTTTCTCCCTTACTTCAGTTCCTCAGAGCCCCCTGCAGGTACTAGGATGAGAGTGATTCTGCAGCCAAAGTTACAGGCACATGGGCTGCAAGCATGTGAATGCCTGCTCCAAGTCTTGCTGTCTGGCTTGTAATTAAACCCAGCGATCAAAAGAAGTAAACAGTAGCACGAGGTACATAATTGTCCTCCACAATCATGCCTTGTAGAGGAGCCCACAGGACATGTCTGTGCTTTTATTTGATTGTCCTTGGTTGTTGATTTCAGTTAAAAGCCCCTTGGATAACTTTACTTAGGTACGAAAACAGATGGGGGGATTATTTCATTTGAAAGGCTGTGAGTTTAGAAGGTACAACCTAATTGTCTGACTCTGGAGCATTTATGTATGATCTTAATCTGGTTTTATTAAATGCATTGGCTCATCTGGTTCACTGCTGGCTGCGTATAACATCGGTAGGCTTGGCGGAGTCATTTTGATTTTTATCAATTTAATTTTTCACAGTTGAGAGAAATTATGGGGCAGTCAACATTACTTGACAAAATATGCAAAGTAAATATCCTTAAATCAAACTCTAATAAGTTCTCAAACAGCATTTTTTAAACTTTGCCTATCTGTACATTTTGGTTACTATAGATTAAAATACTATATTGGTTGTATATGTATGGTGATATCAATGTTTACCAATGTTTACTGATAAAAATCTAATACTTCCAAGCGTAAATATAGGATAATGTGTAGTTTGTAAGAAGGATGCTGAAATTAGGATACAATCAGACACTCATTACTAACTCAACATGAGAAAATTCCTCCCACTAAAGATGCTGGCGGGAAGTCATGCTTCCATAGGTTCATCCAAAGAAAGCCAACTGCTTATGGTGATCATCTCAGATCTTTTGATGAGAATGAGAGGCAATTTGCACAAGTGGAAAACAATTATTTTGCTACCAAAATGCAGGTTTGAACTACGAGAAATGGCTGCAAATCTCCATCTGGGTCAAAGTTCAGGATTTAGAAAGCAGGAGAGGAACACGACGAGAGTGACAGGACAAAATCTTGCCCTGGATCAAGTTTGTGAATCGTCAAGGAAATATCCATTTTTGTCAGTGAATTCTCAGTTTTTGCCATCAAATATTTAGACCCTAATCCCAAACCTCTGGTAGTCAATGGAAAGACTCCCATTGATTCCAGTGAACATTGGATAAAGCCCATAATAATTAGCCAACCATCTATGAAAAGTATGATTGTCAGAGCTGCAGCTGTTACCTGGAGGGATGTGGGTGACCTCAGATCCATCCAGGAGGATGCTTCCTTGGGGGTGCCTGTTGCACACTCTTGTCCCGGAGATGCTGGTGTCCCAGTAGGAAACCTCACTTGTTTCTTTCCTTCTTCGGTGGCTAAGTTCCTTCTCTTCAGGAACTCTTTCTGGCGGGGGCTCTGGGACTGCTCCTCTGCCTCTTTTTTCTGACATTGCCCCACATGGCGACATGTGGTGACATTGTTTCTCCTCCACAAGCTCTCACGGGTCTCGTGCCGGCGCTCGCACTTCTCGTCGTAACTCTCACTCAGACGCCTGCACCGGCGCGGGGACTTCTCAGTTCGACTGATCATATTGTCCACGGCTCCACACACAACACACCAACCTGTGATGATCTCCTGGCTGCTTTGGTGAAGTTCTTTCCTAATGAAACCAAAGGGGGAGGGGGCAGAGAGACATTTTAAGTGAAAACAAATGATCAGGCTGGAGGTTGAATAAATGTATGAAAGACACCAACTCTAGGGATATTCACCTTATTCAGTGGATGCCGGTGGCATCCTTTTTCCGACATCTCTCTACCCCCAGCCATAGATAAATATATACACACACACACACACACTTGGGAGCTAATAAAGGATTGCTCCTTGAAGTAGATTTTCCAGTGCTTTATCCAGTTCAGTCTCAAGTGATGAAGTGTCTACCACCTTCCTTGGGAGATTTATTCTTCAGTCTTAGATCTTGCCATTATCAAATACCTCCTGCTGTTCAGTCTAAATTTTTTTTTTGCTCAGTTTCGGCCTCCTGCTCCTAGTTATAACCCCTTGGCCCACCTAAAAAAGTAAGACTGCAGCAAGAATAATGGCTCCTGGTATTTCCGTAGTAGTGGCCTTGCATTCCTTTCCTGCATACATATATTTTTCCAGTCTGTTCCAAAAGACTAACTGTAGATGTAGGAAATTTGCTATTATATAATTTACTTTTCCTGCAGCTGCATGTATTTCTAAATCCTGTTTGCCTTCTGTGCACGCCCAGAGAGACCTGGGACATGGAGCTTGTCTTACCACACTGCATGGGTTTTTCTATAGAATCTTTGGGAAAATCCCAGGTTGTTTCTGTCTCATCAGTTTTAAGAGCTCTTACTATCTGAAGATCATGGTCACCCTAATGTTGAGTGCTGCATTATTTTAGCTCCTCTTCCTTACCCCACTCACCTTTTGCAATAGCTTGACTTAAATGGTACATTCCAGTTTGCACTCTGCACGTTTTTCTTTCCTTTTCCTCACAAAAGGCCGTGTCCTCAATTCTCCTGGCTAGTGGCACTGCCTCCTGTCCCCTTCTGTTGTAAATATTAAATACATTAATGTTTACTCTGGTTAGAAACATTGTTGGACTCGAGATGAGGGGAGAGCAAGCAGGAGAGCTGAATGGCACGGCTCAGCCCAGTGGGTTTACCTCCACTTCTGTTTGTGTATAGCTCAAGCAAAGCAGGTAGATTGCACCAGAAGCCTGCCCTGAGAATGAGCTCCTTTGTTTGGGCATTACCCCCCCTACACTGTGTACATGTGCACAGTGAATGATAATCCCTTCCCTCCACTTCCTCCTACAGAATTCTTTGCTCACTTGCAAGCTTCCCTCTTACTTGCTTTACTAGACTGTGGCCACATGGAAGGTGTTTGGGTCTTCTCCTCTTCACCAGTGAGGAAGAAAACAGAGCACAACATGACACACACTGACAAAATCCCTAAAACGTTACATTTTCCCTCCTACCCCTCCGTATTAGCCAGCACAGGGATTCCCTGCTCCTTGATCCAGACGGATAATCCTCATGCACATTCCAGAAATGTTGTTTGGAGGATCATGTGAAGATGTTAGGCATTCTGCTGAGTGGTTTGGGATTGGATTAGTGCTCCAGTGGGTGGGAGTGGCTGTCAGCCAAAATACTTTACTCTATTGCCTGCCAGCCCAAGTGTACATTTTGCTCTCTTTTTGGCCTGTTGTATTTGGACAGTGAGATTCTCTTAGTTATTATTGATCATGTTTATTATGCAGGGCCAAAGGGCCAGCCAAGAATGGGGTCCCATTGTGCTAAGCATGGCACAAACCCAGAGGGGCAGATGCAGGGTGGGGGAAGGGGTAGAACACACAAGCAAAGTGAACAATGGGGTGGGAGGGGGGGGGGGGGGGGGGGGGGGGGTTAGGAGGTGATCAGCTAAATGGGAAGGGAAAGGCGAGGAGGAAGAGGGCAAGCGGACAGTTGTGCAGTGAAGTTGAGGTGAAGAGTCCGAGGGAGGTGGAGGGTTGGAACAAACAGCCAGTCAGCACAAGGAAAAACTCTGGAAAACTCTCTGAATGTCCCGAGGTCCCTGCTTTGGCCAATTCTGTAGCTGCTCCTATGGCCGGTTCCTCCCTGCAGTTTTTCCCCAAGGACACATAGCTGGTGGGGTGCAGGGGGTAGGAGGGCATCACCTGGGTCCTAGTGCCCACACAGTGTGCGATGGAGGGGTCTCCCCTGCACGGTTCTGGGTGTTGTGGGGAGGAGTATCACACTGCAGCCCTGGGATGGAATATCCATTTTATTTTGACCAGCTAACAGGATCCAAACCAAGGGCCTGGCTCTCCTTTCACTCACCCTGGTTTTATCTCCATTGACTCCAGCGGAGTTACTGTGGATTGATACAGGTGCAAATGAGAGAAAAAAGCAAATTCCCATCTCCAGATTTTCAAAAGTGCTCCGAGCCAGCAGCTCCCATTCAGAACCATGGAGAATCTTCTCTATCCCCACTGCGGACAATAGGAGCTGTTGAGTGTGAAGCTCTTTTGAATATCTGGCCATTTAGAGTATATCTGCACTGCAGCTGGGAAGGATGCTCCCTGCCCAGTGAGACAGACTCCAGCTCAGGGCTGCCCAGAGGATTCAGGGGGCCTGGGGCAAAGCAATTTTGGGGGCCCCTTCCATAAAAAAGTTGCAATACTATAGAATACTATATTCTCGTGGGGGCCCTGCAGGGCCCGGGGCATGGGGCAAATTGCCCCACTTGCCCCCCGCCCCGGGGCGGCCCTGCTTCTGCTAGCAGAGCTTGAGCTAGCATGCTAGAAACAGCAGTGTGCACGTTGTAGCTCAGATGGCAGACAGACTCTCAAGCCCACCTGACCCCCTGGGTCTGAGCTTGGGTGGCTAGCCTGAGTAGTTTTTTGGTGGCTGGAGCTGCAGCTTCCACACTGCTATTTTTAGCTCACTAGCTCAAGCCCTGCTACCCAAAAAAAAAAAAAAAAGAAAAGCCGTTGCAGCAGGCTTTTATGGATGACTACTAACAAAGGAAGGGAAGAAAGGAATATATAGATTAGCCAAGAAACACAGAGGACTCGGCAGCTGCGAAGTGTGTCAAAGAAGAAAACAGAAGAGAACTGGTGGAAGATGGTGAAATCATTAGGAGATGGCCGAGGTTTTATGAGAAACCGCTCAATGAAGAGAATGCGAAGAAATCGTCGTGGGAAGTATGCGCAAGCAGCAGCTTCATAAGACCTATGACCAGGTGGAGCTTCAGCCCTGAAGACGATGAAACATGGGAATGCAGTGGCAGTGGACCGTGTACCAAAGGAGGCATTTAAAGCACTCACCCATGAGGTCGTGGTGATGATGACAGACTTCTTCAACTTAATTCTCTGTACTGGGAAATGCCCGACAAGTGGAGGAAGAGCATATTGGTCCCTATCTTCCAGCGTAAGGGAGATGTGCAGGAATGTAGTAATTACCAACCCATCTGTGATGCTCTCCTCAGGGAGTCCAGAACCATAAGCTCACTGTGTTACCTCTCTGCCTCAGCAAGAGAGCGCTTTCCTGGAGCGTAAACAGTGTGACAGCCTCCTGCTACACCACTCTGTCCACCTCACCAGCAAAGATCTCCAGACTCTGCCATTCTAAACTTTGCCTTGCAGGTAACATTTAGTGAACCCTGGTTCCTGAGTCCCCTACAGGCATCTTTCTGCAGCGTGCAGTCCCTCTCACTTGGATGCTCATCGAAATTAATAAAGTCTCCTGTCTCCAAAGAGACAGACTACACCTCAGCCTGTTGGCTCAGTTGAGGATATGCGCCTCACTTGAATATAACAGGATGGGGATGGTTGATAGTAAAACCAATAATAAGTTGATTAATACAAATATAGATTTAAGTGATCGTGAGCAAAAGAAAATAGACAGGTCTGGTGACAAAACAAAAATAACCTACTTCCTAGTGACTGAAACTTAACTTTAACAAGCTATAATCTTTGCCTGAGCAGCTTTCTCACTCACTTCAAGCTGTCAGCATCCCCAGGCACTCAGGCAGAAGGATCCACCATTCACAGCATCAACGGGCGCTGATCCCTTTGTCTCCTAAGTGATGGATAACAAAGGAGTCCCCTTTTTGTCCTTTTATAGTCCAAAAAGCCTTTTGGAATGTGTTCTTTGAAAATAAACCCAGACAAAGTTCCTCTCCCCTGCTGCTTGTTCTTCGGGGTGCAGGTGCCAAGCCCCTTCTTCATCCTCGGGTCAATTTGCGTTTTTTGATTCACTCGATCACTTTGTTTACCTTCGATACAAATGTCTTTCTATTGTCCTGTGCTTGTAATCAAGCCAGGATGTTTTTCTCTTCCACTTGTTTGCTTGATCCATGCAGACAGGTAAATCCACATTCCTTTGTCTAGGGAAGGCTGGTTAATCAACTGCCTCCACAACATATTTTAAGAACATATTTCCAGCATACATACATAACTCTCTATAGACAACCCGTACATACATCACACATGTTTTTTTAGGATACTCTATGAGAAATAGTTTGGCTAAATATTCTGTTGGGTGCACTCTTCACTAATTGGCGTAAAGAGGCTCTCAGGGTCACACCATCAAGTTAATGGGTAACACTATGAAATGGCTAGAAAGAATTATAGAGAGAAGATTTTAGCAGGAGCTGGAGCATCAAATATATGACAACCCATTTGGGTTTATGTTCGGAAGGTCGACAATGGAGGCAGTATTTGCAACCTGAATATTGCAGTAGAAGTACAGGAATAATGCATGGAGCTGCACTTGGTGTTTGTAGATTTAGAGAAGGTTTATGGCAGGCTTCCTAGAGAATTGCTTTGGTGGTGCCTTTGGTTGTGCAATCTGCCAGAGACACATGTTCAGACTATGATGGATATGTATGAAGATAGCACAACAGTAGTGAGAGGCATTCACTGAGAGTGTAGGTCTACATCAAGGATCAACCTTAAACCCAATCCTATTTGTGATTGCAATGGACGCCTTGATGCAGGAGATTAGGGGAGAGGCTCCATGGAGCATGCTTTTTGCCGATGACATTATTTTGTGCCGTGAAGATAAATACAAACTGGAAAGGGGCCTAGAACTATGGAGGAAAATGGCTTAAGAATCAGCCGACAAAAGATGGAATACATGCAATGCTTCGTTGAGAGGGGCAACATGAAGCCAGTAAAACTAGATGTACAGAGTTAAAGGCTGTGCAATAACTTACATACCTCAGTGTACTGTGGAGCCATGATGGGGATGTAGATGCAGATGTTAAGAACCACCCGACGAGCGCTTGGTGTAAACGAAGCGAGCTGACAGGAATTCTCTGCGATAAGGATATGCCAAGTAAACTAAAGACCCAAGTGTATAAGATCATGATTAAGTCAGCCATGATATGTGAGTCAGAATGCTGACCAATGAAGCAGAGAGAACAACTACTACTTCACGCTGCCAACAGGAGAATGCTCAAGCAGGTGCTGGGTAAGACAAGAGCTGACAAGCTATGCAATGAAATGGTACAAGCCAGGATTCAGGTAGCCTCCATTGCAGAAAAGCTGAGGGAGTATAGACTGAGACGACTGGGTCATCTGAAATGACAAGATGTAGGATGTGTTGGCAAGAGAGTTCAAAAGCTAGTAGTCCCAGGACAAAGACCACCTAAAAAAGGTGGTTTGAGATGCTGAGGGAAGATATGAAGAAGGTTGATGTCAGCTTGGAAGACACACTCGACAAGAACACTTGGAAACTAAGAACCAAAGCTATAGACCCTGATTGACGGGAGAAGGTGAAGAGAAGCTCAAGCCCTGCTAGCACAAGTCTGTCTCCCTGGGCTGGGAGACATGATCCCAGCTGCAGTGTAAACGTACCCATAGAGCGTGATTTTCAATGGTGTGAAGCATGGACCTAACTCTGTTCCTACTGAAGTCGGTGGGAGTTTTACCATTCACTTCAACAGGAGCAGAGTTAGGCCAACGCGGAATGCTTTTGAAAAATCCCAACCT